GAAGGGATGGAGCAGAAACCTAGGGCTCGGCAATGCTTGAGGTAGCCTTGGAGCCTCTCATCTTACACCTCTTCAAAGCCCGGTTCTCCAGCCCTGAGAGGTCTGACTTAATCATAGGAGGTCCACCGGCTCCACTTTGGGAAGCTCTGGCCTCCAACATCAGTTTCTTCTACTTGGCTATAGAGAGATTTGTCATCTTATCTGCAACGAAAGGAAAAGACAGTATAAGTATTATCCACAAAGGTGCACAATTGTTAAACCAAAAACAAAAACCATTACAAAGGAAATTAGGAATTTGTTCATGGTTTAGGGACAACGGATCTTTAAGCTTCATCATTCAAAGGGAGTCAAGTGCAGTCAGAGCCTGGATTTCCAATTCACCCTGCTTTTCAAATGTAAAGTCGAAACCAGATCCAATAGAAAGGAAGGCGGGGGAACCCGTCCAAGGCGAACAAAACTTGGGGACATCTCAGTCCATATTTTACCTTTAGGAACCGCTCCTTGAAACCCTTATAATTGTGGGGAAGACCGTTGGTCTGGATTAAAGAAAGCTTATCGGTCTCTTTTACCTCATAAAAAGAAAAGAACAAACCTAAAGCTACCGGTAGAAAATCATCGAGAGAATATAAATTAAGTCGTCATCGAACATTTTTTATCCCATGGGAAGGGAAAGGTAAACATCGAGTAAATCTGAGAAGGATGAAATCACGATCAAATGACCGAGAGATCGGGTAAGGGAGTCGATTATGCAAGGGGAAGGTATTAGCACCCCTCACGTCCGTGGTACTCCACGGGATCCACGCTTGTTATTCTAATCAAAAAGTGTGTTTATATCTAAAGCTTAAGAGCTAAGAGAGAGAAAAATGCAAGAAGAGAATACATGCAAAAGAAAACACGGGGAAAAGAAGAAATATTTACAAAGTTTCGCTCGCATGAGCCCCGTGACCAAATGCCTACGTATCCTTTTAAGGAATAAGAGTGTCGTAGTTTGGCTCAAAAGTTTTCGTCTGTTGGTTGATTTTAAATGAAGAGACAAGTCATCATTTTTAAAGGAGAAGACTCGTTTAAAAGCCCACAATGTATGATAAAGAAAGAATGACTATGCACCAACATGAGGGAGGGTTTAATAACACCTCTAGTACTCAAGTGGAGAAGTCGACAACCATGAGGATAGAGGAAGAACATCTCAATTATAAAAAATATTTTAAAGAATATCTCAATCATAAACGAACATCTCTACCTATGTTAACATGCATGGATTACGATCTTAATGTCTAAGTTGCATCGGAAACGAAACAAGCAGATCCTAAGGGAGCATATAATGGTTACTACTTAATGAGAAACATAAGCATAAGTTCAATCAAACAAAAATGAGTTGAAGACAAAACAAACATCGAGTGCAAGCTAAAAGCAAACAATAAAGTCCTATGGATCTCAAAGTGGGAGTAAGGAACTCTTTCCACTTAATTTGTTCGAGCACCGGTATCGAGTAACAACTTGGAGCATCAACATCGAGCACACGAGCTAACATCATGGAAATGAATAACAAAATATGGGGGTTGATTATGAATCCTCATCCACTTTATTCGACTCAATAGACTAGAATATGCACGGTTTAAAGCGTCAACGTATGGCGCGAGCTAAGAACGACATGGACTAGAATTCATGGGGGCCGATTGTGAGCCCTCATCCACTTTATTGACTTGATAGCAAGCATAATGTAAAAGGGAAGGGGAATTGCCTACTTTTGAGGACTTTAGCAAAAATGCTTCCTTTTGAGGTCTTTAAACAAAAACAAGAAATCGTCCCTTTTGGAGTCTTTTGCAAGTAAAAACATCGCCTCATTTTAAGGTCTTTAACAGAACAAACATCGCCTCACTTGAGGGCTTTAAACAGATTTCTCACCTAAAGTAGGGACTCCCAATCATGCATCTTTATTCCTACTTCTCATGGCAAGGAAAACGGTAAATAACGCAGAAACATAAACCAGAAACAGTACAATACCAAACAAACAAGAGTTCATAGCAAGCAAGCAAAGCAGAGAAACTCGGAAAACTTCGAGCAAACTAGCATCAACAACAAAATAGTCAGAATATGCGGCGAAGCATCAATAATGTGAAAATAAATCACAATTAGAAAGTGCATCAAGCAAGCTCGAACATCAAATAAAAGTCATTGCATAAGATAAAGTTCAAAGACAAAACAGTATAACAAAGAAAATAGTTTGCACATCTCATATGAAATAAGAATCGAACCCAAGCAGACTAGAAACCTATATCAAAACTACAATGAAAGAAATAAAAAATGAATATATTAATTAAGAGTTGATTAACTTAATTAATTGAGTTTAAAAAAATAGATTAGTAAACTGATCCATTTTAATTAACTAAATCAACATTTAATAAATTGATCAAAGTGAAAAGATAAAGAAAGATGGATGGTGAAATAAAGAGATAATCGATTAGTTAAACATTGATTAAATTAATTAAATAAAGTTAAGAAAAATATATTAGTAAACTAATTCATTTTAATTAACAAACACCAATTAATTAAAGCAATACAAAACTAATGGATTACGTTGAAATAGAAATTGGGAGTAGAATATAATTGTTAGGAGTAAAGAACTTGAGAACTCTTATAAGCTTGCACAAATCAACAAACAAGTTAGTACTCACAAGGTATAAAATCGAAATGAAACTTGCATGATGCACATGAACAATTCAAGAACCAAGTAATCGATTATTCAAGTATTTCAATTCACAAATGAACTAAAACCAAAGAAACTCATACTATTATTAAATCCAAAATCGAAACATATAAAGTTAATTTCGAAACAAGATAAGATCAAACAAGTCAAATTTGAGCAGCCATGACATCAATATACATTGACACTCAAAATTCACTTCAAACAAGTTCAAGACGAAAGAAACTAAACTCAACCAAAGCCAAAAGATTTCTCAATCAAACTTAATTCATAGTCAACATCGATGCTCAACAATATCCTTATAATCAAACTTAAATAACACCAATGACTTAATTCCACCTCAAAACATGAGAGACCAATTCCAACCATGCTTAAATCAATGAAATTAGAATTTGAGCAGCAACTTCCTAAATCTAATTATGCTCTATAAAATCATCTCAAACAAGTGTTCAACACAAACGAAATTCACAATGTCACCATAATCGAACTTCCCGCAATTAAAATACACCCAAAACGTCAGGAAAACTCCTTCAAATTATCTTAAACAACATGAGATAACAAATAAGCTTCACTCAAGATTAAAATCAAGGATAGCATTGTCACCACCAATTCAATTTTAAACTAAACGGAAAGGCATTGACATCAAAACTATTATTCAAATTAACACAAATAGAAGGTTGTAGACATTAAAAAATGATCATTAAAATTAACAAGAATAACAGGTCGATACCACAATCTACTCAAAACTCAGATTCGACATAAATAAATCAGAACAAGTTCATCACGATCAATCCAAAAACATTCACATGTATTCCACCACTAAGGATTAAATTTAGGGGTGTGCAAAAAAACTAGTTACTGACAACCAAATTCATATCTAAATTGTTTCATTTATTAAAACCCAATCCAAATATTAAATATTGGATTTGGTGATCCATCTATGGTCAAAGTGGTAAACCGATACCCATAAAATAGTTATTGGGTATCCAAATTTCTTTCTCATCAAATTTTTCTGCTTTCTAATTTTCACACTTTCTCAACAAAAAAAAAGCTCTACACATTTTCATAAAAATTGAATGATGTTTAACATTTTATTTCAAATGATTAATTATTAAATAAATATAAAAATGTTTAATTATAGTTAAAAAATATGCAAACACTCTCAAATAAATTGAAAGATATAGTATACTAAACATTTAAAAAGCAAGATATATTATTATCGCCGTAAAAGACAAATTTAAATTTGAAAGAAATTTGTTTGAACTTATCTTTTTTTCATTCAATATACGTATACTTTATATAAGAAAACGAATGTGGACAGTGAATTAATTAATATTATCTCAGTATTAATTGATTTTTCTTTTAGGATTGATAAAATAAAAAGGATCATTTAAACATAAAAAGGTTTTAAAAAATGTTTTGTGACCGTGAAAACAACTGCTACAAAATATTTTGGACATATGTCGATATCGATACTGTTATATCCGTTTTATATTAAAAAACAAATTATAATTAATAATTTACACTGCGACGAACACAATCAATGTCGTGACACTTCTATCGAAATTGCAAAAGTTGTAATACGACCGCGACAATTTTTTAAAATCTACTTAAAATTAAATTAAGGATATGTTTTATTAATATTTAAAAAAAAATAGTACTGAATTAATTTTAAAATTTTATTAATTAAAATGAATTGAATGTAAATTAAATTATATTTAAATAATTTGGATTAAAATTAAAACTGGTTTCAAACCGGTTTTAATCCGGTTTGAAACCAATTATATTTTTTAAATCAGTTTTTGTGATTAATGGTTTGGTTTGTAAACCATAACCATAAAAGTGGATTGGATCATATATAACCATGCACACCCCTAATTAAATTAACAATACATTACCAACATCAATCAAATTTAAACAAAAACAAACCAGAAATTCATACAAACGCAGACGGAAATGAAGTTGTATACCACTTCTTTTGAGTGTTGGAGTAAGTTACGGTAGCAGGAATTGAAGACCGCGGGGGTTTAGCTAACGAGCAGAAGAAGTAGAAAAATTCAACGGAGGGAAGAAGAAGACGGTAGAGATAGAACCGAACATCAAGTTGAGTTGTTGTGAAGACGGAAGCGAGATGGCCGGAAATAGAAGTGAATGGATGAGGTTTGCGTGGCCGTTTGGAGAGAGGACCGGTGGTTGGAACGGATAGGCGGAGACCAGCTTGTAGAAGGTGGCGTTGTAGCTTAACAATGGGATCCGTTGTTTGATGTTGCGCTGTAGTTGCAAGATGGAGGAAGGTTTATGGTGGCTGCGGTGAATTACGGAGGGTTGTAAAGGAAGAAGCTAGCGGAAGAGAAGTGAGGTTGGGTTGCTGCGATGGCGGTTTGTTGATGATAATGAAGTTGGAAAAGATCGATGAGTGTATTGCAATGGGAACAAGATGAAGGAAGAAAGAGCGTCTGAGAGATAGAAGGAATTGGAGTTTTTGAAGCGTTTTGTTCCTGAGAGTTGAAAATAGATCTCGATTAACGTTTTTTCCCTTTTCCAAATATCCCCTTTCCCTCTCTTTCATCGTGCACACCTTTCTTATCACAAATTCCCCTAAACCTTATCTACATAGCTCATGTAAAAAGACCAGCCAACCCCTTCATAGATATTTCCAAACTTTTAATCTAAAACAAACTTACTAATTCCTTTATATACAAATTTTTATGATTTTAAAACTAAAACTTAAAATGAATTTAATTAAGTAAATGGAAACATATATTATTTTATATATATATTATCAAATGCTAATAAAATTTAAAATTGCTTAAAAGTAAAGAAGGAAAATATTTTTAGATGAAAACATTTAAATCAAAATACTAAACAAAAATGCGTGAGAAATGCAATCATTCGAATAAAAATTGATTTGATATAAACATTGTGAATGAGAAATTCGGAGTAAAATTTGGGGTACAACATTGACTCACAAACTACTTCAAAGGCCTTTATGAATCCCCAACTATTGGGACGAAATTGTGAGGACGCGACATTCACAGCCTTTCGAACGTCGGCCTCAAATTCATAAAAGGGTATACGGATTCTGAAGTCCTCCAAAACCCCGACATAAAAATAAAAAAAGTCTTCATCAGTGGTCTTCCAGCAGAGTATACAAACGCGTTCCCCTGAGACACATGACTCTAGAATAACGTCACCTTCTTCCTCAGTTGAAGAGACATTTATCAGAGACTAAAGTTTGGTGATCTTCATGTCGTCAAGCACACTATTCTTGTACCCCATGACTTCAAGATCGAATGGGGCAGACGCTTCCATCAGATACAGAACCCGAGGAGGAAGAATCGCAACAAGAATCACTAAAAAAGGTGAAGGTACAACCATAAACTTCCCTCATGATCCGATTAAACTCCTCTTGACCTAAAGTGTCCTTCGCCTCTTGCATGCATTGGTCCCATAACTCCCGCCTCTCTTCAGCTTTTGTGGGTTTTACAACATTTCCATAATCATCACACTCTCTTAAGGTAACTATTATCTAAAAGACAAAAGTGAAAATGAAAAGGTAAGGGAGAAATACCTGGAAAATCGAAGAACGCTTGAGGGAGAATGTATGCTTTCTTCTTAAAGATGCAACATCTTTCTAAACTATCAAAGTTAAAAAAGGAAATAAGAAAATAGGGTTTTAATAGAACCCAATGAATAGTACACTGGGGGAAGGAAATGTCACCCAATGAACTGAGTTTTAGGTGGGAGTTATCATTATTTTAATAAATAGAAAACAAATGACTCTTCATTCCTTGAAACATACGCAAGGATAAAAAATGAGTTGCAACCTGGTGTCGACTTCAATATTTTTGTGCCTTTTGTGACCGAACACTGCATTCTTACGATAAAGGATTTGAATTCAGGGGGATTATGTACATCCCGAAAATATCAGTCCCGACCGGGTAGTAAAATCGCCTGAAGAGGTAGTGAAGCTGGTGGCCGACTTGGTGGTAAAAGGTACCCGGGAGGGGAATACAACTCGGCTAAGAAAACCAGACGACCATCGTACCTCTGGGTAACAACTCATATGTATCGTCAACCTGACTAATACTCATGGCCGGGATCCATCTACCTGTAACCGATCATTTACTTGGCTCATTAATAGTTGTAACCTCCACCGGCGCGTTTATTCTAATGTTATACAACCACAAATGCCTTTATCCATGGTGACAGTGGCAGTTATGCACTTATGAACCCCAAGAGTCACGCATTAACTGAGACTCTTGGTGTCGCAAAAGGAATACTATAAATAGGGGCTCCCAACAGAGGGATAAGCAAGGCATTATTCTTAGGACAATACGCACCATTGACGTAGCTCCCAAATCCATAATCACTCTTCAACCCTACTTTTGTGGCTTTCCTTATTTTCAGGAGGGAAGCTGACCGAATATTTGTTCTATGCAAGAACATTGACGCCCACCGTAGGGGCTTGGTAAAATTATTCTAGGCCACACCTCAACACTCATTTACCAAAATTTCATCTGAAGGAGACCCCCCTATACATGGCGCAATTGTTGGCCATGGCGGAAGCTCTAAGACAGCAAAATGAAACTCTCCATGAAAATGTTGCTGACTTGCAACTTAAAAGCTTAGGAGATGAACAACCAAAAGTGGAGCCCCTAGAGCCTCATCCACTGTCCTCTGAGGGGCTCATATATATGCACTAGATTATCTTAAAAGTTAAAAATATGAGCAGAAAGCTAAAGATGAAAGCTAAAAGAAATTGTGGCATAAAGCCACAAAAGGGCAGTCAAAAGTACAAAAGCGCAAATGCGACAGTTAAGAAAAGTAACAAAAAAAAGGACAAGTCACTCCCTTAACAAAAAATTACATAATTGCATCCTTATAGGATGACTAACCGAAACACAAAAAGCATCATGCAGTCGGGTTCTCCTTCCCATCACCATCATTATTGATGTTCCCCTCGGCAAAAGGGTCTTCAGGATTCAACTGAGGAGAAGGAGTCTTGTGCACTTATTTGAGATCTACAAGGAGGCCATCATGCACCACCTTAAAGTATCCCATTTATGATATTTCCAAATTAAGATGAAGACATAGTATTTGTTCCTTCGCACGCTCAAAAGCTTCATCACTGGCAGAAAGGATATCCACTTGAGACTTCCTAAGAGCCTCCCTTAGCTCATCAGGGGTAACCTTCAGCTCGTCATTGGTGGCATTTTTCACCTTCAACCTCTCATTGAGCTGGGTAAGAGAAGCCTTGCTCTCGGACTCCAAATTCTCCCTACGCTCTTTTTCCTTAGCTAAATCCTTCTCCATACTAGAAAACCTCTCGGACTAAGCCTTTTGAGCCTCCTTCAGTCGGGTTATCTCCTCCTTAAGCTTCAAATATGTCTTCTCATAACCATCATTAAACTCAAAGAGACCATGAGTCAGAACTGCATACCTCATAAGATAAAAGCTAAGGTTTTGTGTTATCTTCTGTCGGCCTATGGTCTTGACCTTGTTGACATCCTCGGTGGCATTAAGATAATCATATAGAAAACAGAACCATCAAAGATGTTAGACCAGAACTTGAATTCCCCAGAAGCTTGAGTGTCTCCGGGTTCTCTCATCAGAGAAGTGATCTCCAATTCAACACGGCAAACCTCGTCGCTTATAAGAGTCTTCAACTTCTTTGAAGTGCCATATTGAACCTCCTCCTGAAGGGATGGAGAAGAAACTTAGGGCTCGGCCATGCTTGAGGTATCCTTAGAGCCTGTCACCTAATGCCTCTTCAAATCCTGGGTCTCCAACCCGGAGAGGTCCGACTTAATCAGAAGAGGTCCACCGGCTCCTCTCCGGGCAGCTCTGGCCTCCAGTATCAGTTTCTTCGATTCAATTATGGAGAGATTTGTCATCTTATCTGCAATGAAAGGAAAATACAGTATAAGTATTATCCACAAAGGTGCACAATTGCTAAAACAAAAACAAAAACTATTACCAAGGAAATCAAAAATTTATTCATCGTTTAGGGACAAAGGATCTTTAACCTTCATCATTCAAAAGGAGTCGAGTATGGTCAGAGCCTGGATTTCCAGCTCACTCATCTTTTCAAATGTAAAGTCGGATATAGAGGAATGGTCCCTGATCCAGTAGAAAGGAAATTGGGGGTGCCCGCCCAAGGTGTATAAGAGCTAGGGATATCTCGGCCCATATCTTACCTTCAGGAACTACTCCTTGAAACCCTTATAATTGGAGGTATACACTTGGAGAAAACTTCTGTGGGGAAGACCGTTGATCTGGATAGAATTGGAGGTATACCTCATAAAAAGAAATGAACAAACCCACTGCGGGGACGAGGTTCATTGCCTCAAAGACTATTTCAAAGGCCTTTATGAAGCCCTAATTTTTGGGACGAAGTTACGAGGGTGCGACATTCACGGCCTTTAGTAAGTCAGCCTCAAATTCAGAAAATGGTACACGGATTTTAAAGTCCTCCAAAACCCTGACATAGAAATAAAAGAAGTCTTCATCAGTGGTCTTCCGGTGGAGTATACATATGTGTTCCCTTAAGACACATGACTCTAGGATAACATCACCTTCTTTCTTAGTTGAGGAGACATTTATTAGGGACCGAAGTTTGGTGATATATGTGTCGTCGATTAAACAATAAGGTAGAATCCTCATTAGTAGTTTAGACATCAACTTTGTTTGTTTGTTTGTGATACATGATGATATTAATGAATATTTAGATTGTGTATAATTGATCAGTAATTTGCATGATAAATCGGTGGATGAAATCCAATCCAAGCAAGTATTATCTCTCTCAAAACTTTCTTTATCAATTATTTGTTTGTTTTTTACATCTCGTAACTTACAAAATCAAATATCTTGCAACCTTCTGCTTAAAACCATAGTAACTATTGAAAGAAATTGATATCACACCAATCCCTGTGGATACGATAAAACAAATACTTACTTTTGATTACTCAACATCAAAGTGACGTTGTTGTCGGAGACTGGCGTTTAGATATTAATGCATCGTAATATTTTCTATCTTTTTAAATTTTGTGCATTTGTCTATATTATATATATATGCTTATTTTCCATTACATTTCCTCAAGTGTTTGTTAGGGTGTATGCTTTTTGTATATGCTTCAAGGAAAAACATCTGCAGATCAATTGCTTTTTGATCTAGAAATTGAAAGAATTGCTTGGAGAAATAACAACAACCCCAGAAATAGAAAGTGACTAGCCAAACAATGAAATCAACAAGAACGAATGTCCACTTCAATTTCTTCAAACTTTACTCAATTTGGTTCCATTGAGGAGGTCAATTTCAACTTGTTTCAAGCAATGCAACATTTGAAAAACAAATAATATTGTTTCATAATAGGGGATACTTATGAAGTAGGCTTGGAATTGAGTAGGATGAAGGGCAGAGCAAGGCTAAAGGATGGTGGTGAAGATATTTGGATCATTTCATACAAACCTCCTTGATTTTACTTGAAAAAGTGTCAAGCTAACGATATAAAATAAGCGCTTGTTGGGAGGCAACCCAACTTTGTAAGTATTTAATAACTTTGCATT